CGATTCAGCAACTGACTCCAGAGGAGGTGGCAAGGTTCATTCAAAGTGGGAAGATGGAGGTGTGCGGAAAGCTCATCACCGTCAACGATGTCAAGGTGGTGCGCAAGATCAAGGATGGCTTTACGGATTTTGAGAGCAACACCGACAACGATGTGGTGGTACTTTTGGACAAACGCGAGGAACAGGCTCTGGTGGATTCCTGGCGGGCGCGGGAGTTTGTCAACCGCGTGCAGCAGCTGCGCAAAAAGGTGAAGCTTGTGGTAACAGACATGGTGGACGTGTACTTTGAGTCAGAGGACGTGGAGCTCACGAACTCTATCCTCAATTGTGCAGAACAGGTCAACAAGACCATTCGGGGCAAATGGGAGACGATGGATAAACTACCGGCAGACGCGAAATTTGTTGCCGAAGAGGACAACAGCATTTCCGGTGTTGGCATTAAAATTGTCTTCACGGAGGTTTCGGCCTGACGTCGAACGTTCGGCGTTGGTTGTCGACATGCCCTTCCTACATCCTACTTTTTTTTTTTTTTTTTCTTGTTCTTTATAGAATTTATTGCTTGCCCTTTTTTTTTTTTTTTTTTGGCGTGTGTGTGTGTGTGTTTTGTTGGTTTTATTTAACCACATCGATTTCAATGAGCTCCCGTTTTCCGCATATTCATTTTTTTTTTTTTTTGCTTGTTGTTGTTGTTGTAGCAGGCACATGGGCTGTGGTATTTGATCCCCGACGTGGCGAAGAATTATGCAAGAGTAAGGTGAGGCAAAGACCGGAATAAAATCAATGAAGCAAAATAAAAAAAAAAAAAAACGAAAACAAAAGAAATTCACTTAATAAATTACTATTATTATTATTATTATTATTATTCATAAGCACACCAATCACAATATATTTAATCTTAATTATGCGAAGCGCGCTGCTAAAACACAGTGTTTAGGTGAGGACGGCTACGCGCCAAGAATTAGGTAGGCAAGGTTGAGGAGGGAAGGGGAACCGAGGTAGAGGCAAACGGAGAAGGAAAGAGGAAGAAGGGAAGGAAAGGAAAGAAAAGAAAAGAAAAGCTAGCATTATTTATATTTATTAATTTTGGATGTGATCTTGTTTTGGAAAGACTTGTTGTGGTATTATTATTAATTCAGTAACTATAAAATAAACTAAATAAATATATACATTATTCTGGTAGATGGACTTTGTTTTCTCATGTGCAACTTGTATACATGCATGCACAATGCCACACACATTCCCCTTTTCTTATCTTTCCATTTTCACACATATGCACTTTTTTTCCCTTTTTTTCTTTTTTTTTTTGTCTGTGGGCTGATGTTTGTGTGTGGGGGGGGCTTTTGCGCTTTGAGAAAAGAAGGTGAATGGGGGACTTTGTTGCCAATGTACTCTATTGGCTCCCCGCTGCGCTGATGACTCTTGTCACGTGTGTGACGATTTTTATCGCGGTGGGCTTGGCCCAAGGGTTCTTCCGAAATACTTTGTCGTCATTGTCGTGGCGTAATATTTTGTTCTTTACTGCCATGTCGTCTCGTCAGAAACAGCTTTTGGCCTCCATGCAGGCGGAGGAGCTGGTGGAGGCTGCGTTGCGTTCGGCTGGCTGGAAACATGTATTTCTTCGTCGACGTGTGCCCGTGCAGCGACTCGGGCACAACCGTGAGATTGATGTGGTTGCAGTGGGCCCTGTTGTGCTTGTGGTGGAGGTAAAACATTGGCGTGGGCAAGTCTGGAGCAACGGCTCGCGTTGGTTCCAGTGCCCCGATAACTCCAAGCGCGCGTTGGAGTTTGAGGACATTCAAGAAGATAACTTAGTGAAGGCGGCTGCACTTCGACGATTTATAGAAAATGACCGAAGAATACCGCTTTCAGACCATCACATGAACGGAAATCATCGTTCACCAACTGAGGAGGGTGACATTACGCAGGATAAATCGCGGGGGCACGGCACTTGGTATACGGATCGTCGTCTTCATAAGCAATGTGGTGAGTTTGTTCTCCCGGTAGTTGTCTTTACGAATCCTGCCGTGGTATTAGACCCCAGCACTGTTAAGCAAAAGAAGCGTGTCTTTAATCTTGCTTCTTTCCAGTTGTTTGCAGAGCAACTTATGCAGGAAATGCGAGGACCCTTGGTGCGTGGTGGAAGGCCTTGGGGGCGCTTAGCACAAAGGTTGCGTTCGATCCTCTTTGGGTCGGTGAAGCGACCCTTGGCGATTTCAATCCACGTGGAGGAACGAGTAGCCGCTGCCGTGGAAACAATGCGGACGTGGGACATGATCTACCTGCACAGCGGCCGTCTGATTCATGGCGATGTCACGGAACTCCATTTGCCTTCTATAAAACTTTGGATTGAGCGGAAGCACATTTTGGATGTGGAAGTTTGGTGGTTTGATGGATTTATTGGCTTGCTGCGGGGTCTTTGGGAAGGCGGTGGCGGAATGGTGCGTGTGCGATTTGACGCAGCCCAGCGATTGTTGATGGGGCGGGATGAAATTGCCATCCCCATCGCACCAAGAAACCTGAAGCATATGACGGCTAACGATCGTCTAGTGGTGAAGACGGCCGGAAGCAGAGTTACGGTGACGGTAGCCCTGGCGGATGTATGCAGACTGCGATTTAGTCACCATATGGAGGATTCACATAGTTAACGCAGTTGGAGGAAGACGAGTAAACAAACAACCCCTTTTCCTGTGGCTCAGTGAAAAAAAAAAAATTAGTCTGCGTGCATCTGTTTGGGAAAGGATGGAGGGGGGATGAAATAAGTGAGCGCTTCCTGTATATCATTATATGTGTGTATATACATGCGTTATGGTCGAGTAACCAGGGAACATAAATTAATAAAGGTGTGAAGGTTTACGCCGAGACAAAAAAAAAAAAGAAAGTGCAGGCGATGATGGACGGATGACGTGTTTTTTGTTTGTTTGTTTGAGAGGAAACATTGCAATAGAAGTGACGTAATAAACTCAACACTTGGCAAATACATGAAATCTACAAAAAAGAAAGTAAAGGGATACACCGATGCATCCGTTTCTTTTTTTTTTTTTTTTTTCTTTTTCCTCCTCCACCTCACCTTTTGTTTTTCCGTGTGTGTATATGCACAGAGATGATAATTTTGGAATTTTTCTTTCTTCCTTTTTTTCCCTCCCTTTTTCCCTTTTTTTTTTAATCTGTTATTTTTGTTTGTGTTGTCCTGCAAAGATAAAAATGACGAAAACACAAGGCAAATCTACACGCCAGAAGCGCAAAAAAAGCACTTCAATGGACCCCACAGTCGGAGTTCTTGAAGAAAAGGAAGACATGAAGAGTAGTCGCGGCGATATCTTGTTGGAGACACGGCCATCCCCGGAGGCGTCGAATCCTGCGCGCGAGATCTCGTTGAACTCCGACATGCCGCCTTCCAGCAGGCAATGCGATGGTGCGAAGCCCGCTTTTATGGTTGTCCAGGAAGGAAAGAGCAGTGAGGTTGCAGAACAGGCGCAGTTTCTTCATGTTCGTTTTTTTCTTTGGCCGATTGTGCGCGGTAGCCGCGGGACTCCCAGCATGGAGCATTTGACCCCGAGGTTGCAGAAAATTGCGCAAAGTGCTGCGGTTGTGTTTCCGGCGGGTACAACGTTTGAGGTTCGGCGTGAGGTCCGCATCAATCGTTGCTTGACTCTAAGGGATCGCACACACTGCAGTAATGTTTACTCAAAAAGTGATATTTCAAAGCGGAGGATTACCCTATGCGAGGAACATCGAATTTTGCGTGATGAGTACGCAGCTTCTTTCTCTCCTTGCGACAACCTGCCTTTTGACATGGCGTTCATATTTGATCCCACAATCCGAGCAGAGGTGACACATTATACGAACATGCGGCATACCTTAGAGAAGGAATCAGGTGTGGTTCCAGGCACGTACTTCGTGGCGGTGTTTAATGGCACGGAGATATTTTCTATTCGTGAGCTTGTGGAAGCCTTTTTTCGTGTCTACTTGGAGAAAACCGAGGGGGAAATTGAGAAAAATCACCCTTTCCCCCTTGTTATTCCCCCGAAGAAGGGCACATATCACGAGGTGTTTCATTCAAACCGGGCAGAGGAGTGTGCTTCGGGGCAGGAAGAATATCATGAGGAAGAGATCTCAATCCCGGTGGAGTTGGTGTCACCTCGTGTCTTTTTAGAGGCAAGAGAGCATCATAGATTGTTAGATGGCCCTGTGCAACAGGTTTTGGTTTGTGACAGGGAATTGGGTGTAATGGTGCTGGGCCGCGCAATTGACAAGCGTATTCTCGGTCCTCCGTCACGTCCACCGACGGGATCCACGCGATCTATGGACTCTAAAGAGATGGTGCAGAGCAGGAGTCAAATAAAAAAAAAGAAACCGCATGTGATTCTTGAAGTACCATCACCAATCTTACCGCCATTCAAACTGTGGCATCTCACCGGTGCCATTGTGGAGGCTGTCGGTCTCTTTACTCGTCCTTATTCATCCGTTCCGGAGTTTCGGGTTAGGTACAGCACTCATGACGATGGTGATGTTGAGCTTTCAAAATGGACACAGAAATCGAAGAGGAAGCGAGAGAGAGAGGATGCGTTTGGCGCCACACACAACATTATGACTTTGGAGGATGCCCACCAGATCTTATCTGGTGCCCAAGAAAAGGAGAGGTCAAAGGGAGACCAGAGATCACGAGACACATCCTTTTCTTTCTGTGACAATGGCAACTCGACCTCTTTCAACGGAACCGTGGACGCTTTTAGATTGCATGACGAGATGGGCCCAACACTCGGATGGTTATTGCGCTTTAGCACGGCGTTTGTTTTTGCTTAGAGGATTTGTCAGGGAGAAGAGGGGAAGAGGGAATGAATGCCGATGTAAATAATTGGTGAATTGAGAGCTAGCAAGAGGGGAAAAAGGCAAAGAAAAGGAAAAAATGTGTGGCACACTTGGCGATGTCTGAGGCTTCCACGTGATTTTCTTCTCGTTTTTTTTTTTTTTTTTTTTTTTTTTTCTGTGTGTGTGTGTGTGTGTGTGTGTGTGTTGTTCTTTTTTGTTGGTGTTGCTTTAAAAAAATTATTTTTTTTTTTTTATTTCAGTCACTGTGCGGCCACTGCAGCTCTGGGGAGGAGGGGGACGTCGTTTGTAGAGGGAGCGAAGATGAGATTGCAAAAGGAAAAATTAAAATGAAAAAAATTGCCGCAGGGAACTTTGAAAAACGAAGAATGAAAAAAAAAAAAGGTGATGTTCAGGTTTATAATATTGGACGTATTACTCAGAAAAGTTACCGTTTTTAATTTTTTCAAAGGGGGGAATTTCTTATTTATTTATTTTTTTGGCTCATTGTTGGTTGTCTCTAAATATTCATTTCACTGGTATCGGCATTTCTCTTGTCTTCTTCTCCATTTTGTTTTTTTTTATTTTTATTTTTTATTTTTTTTTTTCTCTTGTAGGAGCGGGGCTGTTTGAGTAGTCGCCGTGACGGATGATCGCGACGCAGTCAGAGGAGAGAGAGAGGGAAGGGAGGGAGTGAAGGGACATGGCACGTTGTTACGAATATCGTTAATGGATACGGAACAATTGTGTCACTGTGCTTGAGTTTATTCTTATCGAATTGGCCTCGAACGAATAATGTGAACGAGGGTTTAGGGTGAAGGAAGTACATATCGTTTTTTTTTGTTTGCTTGCTTGTTTTGTTGTTGTTTTGAGGGAGATTCGCGCGGATTTTGAGGATGATTTTCTCACTCTCTCAGTGTTTCTTATTCGTATTATTTATTTATTATTATTTTTTCTTCCGCGGTCGCGTGCTGGACGGAGGCGGGGCGGTGAGGGTAAATTGCCGCTTCTTCGTGTGGGTGTGGTCTCGGCTCCTGTTGAATTGCAGCTGGAGCATGCGCTTGACTTTTTTTTTCCGTATTTTTTGCTGCTTTTGATCGCGTGAAAACGCAAATAATAATAATAATAAATAAAAAACATAGAAGGGGATACATTGCGCTGAGGAACGAGAAGAAAAGAAGAAGCATTGACGGGCAACTCTGCCACCAATTTTACTGTTGGTGTGGTACATGCTTCAACGCAGTTTTGTTGTGCGTTGGGTTCCACGTTACATCCGTCAGGTTCCTCGGGTGCGACAGAAGAAGGAGCAACGAGATGCGGTGGCCATGGGGCGCTCGAAAGCCCCTTCAAAACGACGCGCGGAGTGTTCAGCCGTAAGTGAGCGTGATGGAGGAGTGGCGAGGGCGGCACAGGCAAAGCGGCTTGAAATAACTGAGGAGGGATCGACTGTGTTGGAATCACCTGTTTCTGACGTGTCACGCCTGCTGCTGCGGAAGGCAGAAACTCTTCTTGATTCCTGGCAAAAGTTAAACATGACGATGACAATCAGCGGTAGCCGGAGCGATTCTTTAATGGGGATGAAGAACTCGTCTTCAAGTCAAAAGCGAGATGCTGTGGCATTTATGGCGCAAACTGAAGTCTTTGCCGTTGTTAAGGGCATGATTCACTTGTCGACGCCTCACGAAGGCAGTTTGAATCGATGCGAAGAGGACAATAAACACGACAGCCTACGGCAGAACGCATTTCAGGAATACAGATCTACTAATATTATCAGCGGTATGGTGGTCATCCCCGATGAGGCCACGAACGATGCAGTGAATTATTTGGCGCAAATAGGGAGGCATCGCGTGGGCAAAGTGCAAGACAAAGTTGCTTCATTGGATGATTCATTCCCCATCTCATCTGCAATTTTCTCTTTGCATGAAGTTGTGGTATTTCTCGAACTTTACAATGCCATGGATTGTGAAGATGGTGAGTTGCTTCTGCGGTTACTTGAGGAATTACGACGCATCGTCTTTTCCACAGAGAAAGAAATTCGTACTGAAAATCATGTGTTGAGGGAATGTGAAGAGGGTGTCATCCCACGGCTCCTCCTTACGCTCTCTAGTCTTGGGATAGTGGAAGAGAACGTCCTGCAACGAATTGTAGCCATCAACGATGGGTCCATTTTGTCCAGAGCGACGATTGCTCGATATCCGGAATCCGATCTTATTCGTTTGCTGGTTGCGTTTAACCGCTTTGGCCTTCACCATGAGCCCTGTTTTCATGTGACGGCAAAAACGTTAAGACGCAATTCGTTGCGTAACCCGCTCAAGTCGTTTTGTAGAAATGCCGTGAACTGTAGGGTGGATGCTGCCCCCTTAGGAGACGGGGAAAAAAGGAGTCGCATTCCTTCCTCCATGGCCGGACTTACCATGAATGAATTGCTGGAAGCACTGACAGCCATAGCGCTTAGTTTGTGCCGGGAGAGGGAGGTTGTAAAGTTACTCGCGGCAACGATTGTTACCGCCGTCGAGGACGAGGAATATATGAGGTGTTCGACCAAAGAAAAGGCAAAGACACGAGAAGAAGACTTGGGTTTGCTTCGAACGCTACAAGTCCATCGTGCGGCTAAAGTTTGTGAGCAAATGGATATGCCCCAGCCATCGCTGGCACACCTGCTCCATCGACTTTCTATTCGTTATGGCGGGCTACTTGCTGATGGTGGCGACGTTTCGTTGAGCCCAGAGCGGGTTGGATTCTACGACTTCATCACGGCGGATTTGGTGAAGGCTCGTTGCAGCTGAAACAGTGAAGCAGATGATGTGTGGACATGTGTGTGTCTTTTTTTTCTGCTTTTTGTTGTTGTTTTTGTTGTCATTTTTGTCTCTCATTCTATTTTTTCTATTGTCACTCTTTGTGCTCTTCTCCTGTTGATGACGTCGCCCGCTATTTGGCGTTGCCTGTTTTTGCTGCCTTCTTACCATCGCGATTTGCTGCTTAGCAAGGAGTCGACTTGTGTCGCTGTGACTGAAAAAATATATAAATCACCTGGGAGGGGGAGGGGGAGGGGGCTGTGCTTTTGTAGGGAGTGAGAAGAAGAAAGGAAACAATAAAAGTGACAAACAGGAAATTGTGCGATTTGACCATGCAAGACTCACGCAGTTTTGCCCAAGTGGTCGCCGAAGGGGCCTCCATGAAACCCGCCGAGGTGGATGTCGCTACCACCATCAGCGGTGTCCGAGTTGGCATGAACACCACGGCGGAAACGACGGTGCCGACGGGTGCCCCAACCGACTCCGTCCCTCTTGGGGGTGCGGGCCCCTTGCCGATAGTCCGACTCCCCGGCGGAGAGAGTTACGCGGACGCCGTCAAGTCACGGAGCGTGAAATTGAATGGTGTCCCGGTGAGTGCTGGGAAAGTCCTTGGCTATGTGGAGTCACTGACGAACTCGACGTTGCAGGAGCAGGAGTCCGTGCTCTCCTCCTGGGCGGACGATGACCAGTGCTTCTTTGACTCCATACGCATCGCGCATGAAGCAGCCAAGAAGGATGGGGTGGAGCAGCCGCAGCAGGGGAGAGATATCGACCAGAGCACCGGCAGTTTCAGGCAAAGACGGGGTAGAAGGGGATGGAGGTTCATTGGTGTCAGCGAGGGCAGCAGGAACTCCGGCAGGCGACGCAGGGGATACAACAACAACAACAATAATAATAACTGAAATTACCAAGCCTTTTTGATACGTCGAGCGGCATGTAACCAAAAAATAAAAAATAAAAAAATCTCTCCGGTGGACGCCTAGCTTCGCTGCTTAAACGTTTTTTTTTTTTTTTGTTTGTTTGTTTTTTGTTTTGCCCGGGGAGGCGCAGGTGCAGCGTCAGTGAGAAGGAGGCAGGGAGGGAAGTGGGGGGGGGGGAATACGACAACGACAACAAAATTAAACGGAGACAACTTTCTAAGAAAAGTGCGGTCAACAAAATGAACGAAGAAACAGTGATTTGTGTCAATGAAGAAAAAAAAAAAAAAGAAGAGGTGGTACTGACAGCTGTGTCTGCGTGAAAAACAAACATGCAGAGAGAGAGAGAGAAAAAAAAAAAAAAAAAAAAAAACTAAAAAAGAAATAAGTAAATGCTTATATATATACATATATATAAAGGTTTTAGTAGACACGGAAGGGATAGCTTCATATGCATACATCCGTACATATTTATTTTATACTCAGCGGCAACAACAGCTGGAAAAAGAGAAGAAAGAGAAATAATTTCGATAACACAAACTCTTTGATCAAAACAGTGAAAAAAAAAAAATGAGTGGGAGGAATGGCTAACAAATGTCGATTGTGGGCATTCATTTACATCAACGTTTACAGGCTGCTTTTTTTCCTCCTTTCAAAGGAGGGGGAACGTCCCGTCGTTTTGTGGTACTTCATTTTGCTCCTTTTTGTGGTTGGTTTGCAATTTTCTGACTTCTGTCTTCTTTGTGGCTTTTTTTTTCTTTTTCTTTGCCGTCGCTGCTCATGGCCCTCTGTCCCCGTCGTTGTGGTGTATTTGTTGCAAACGGAGCGCACCTGGAAGAGAATAAAAAGGAAGTTACAGCCAGAGGCAAAGCGGGGGGGGAAAAAAGGCTGCATGCAGCCAGGACCTCACCTGGGAGGGAGGAAAGTGAATTTTGGGCGTTGCTCAGGCGCACAAATGTCTGTGATTATTATCAGCCTCGGCATTTATTCTATTCCTCTTTTATTGCATTTATTTTACTTTTGCTTTACATCATGTGTGCTGTTTTTGTTTGTTTGTTTTTGTTTCTCTTTTTTTCTTTTTTCTTTTTTTGCTGTTCAAGGCTTCCATCATCATCGCCATCATTAATTTCCATTTTTTTTTTCTTTTTCTTTTTCTTCATGCTTGTCTGTGTGGGTGCGTGTGTGTTTCTGGACATGTGGTCTGCGGTGTGTTCGTGGAGTACACGCATCGTTTTGTTTCTTTTCCCGTAGGGTGCAGGCACACAAATTTTCACGCAGGTGGAGAGTGATGACAGAGAGAGAGAGGGAGAGAAGGGGGAGGGGAGGGGAGGGAGGGGGAACACATTACACGAAAGGGAAAAGGGGGGGAATTCTGTCGTATTTGTTTGGTCTTTTTGATTTTGCATTTTGGTTTTACTCATGTTATTCCCATTCAAGTTAACGATTGCAGTTGATGTATCGAGTAACGTGTTAGGGATTTGAGGGGAAGGGTGAATTGTGTCTCTTCTGCATCCGACTGATTTTTTATCTATAAGTTTATGTTTTTTTGTTTGTTTGTTTGTTTGTTTTTCAGTTTATTTTTCCCCCTCCGCCTGTAAATATTTTTGTTTGTTTTTGTGTGTGTCATTGTTTAGGAGTACTTTGGGGCGTTCCCTTCTCTTCCCCTTTTCTTTTCTTTTTGTTGCTGTTTTTGTTTTTCCGTCTTCACTTCCATCCTTTTTTTTTTTTTTTTGGGGGGGGGGGGGGGTGATTGTCGGTCGGTCTTCTTTCGGTCGCTGAGTTTTTTCAGGTGCGTAGACACATGCCACAAGTACACCCGACGTGAGCCAAGCCATTGCCATTTTCTCACTTCATTTATTATCACATGTGTTTGTGTTTGTGTTGGCGGGAGCGTTTTTCTGCTTGCCGTGTGTTTTGTTGTTATTTATTTATTTATTTTTTCTTTTTTCTTTTTTCTTTTTGGCTGCCTCTAAAAAGTGAGTCAATGTGTGTGTGTGTGTGTGTCTTTGTGTGTTTGTGGATGAAACAGCTGACTGGAAGCGAGTAGTGTCCGAGACGATTATCAACGGGAGGAAATTGAGGGAAATAGCATGCACAAACATACACAATTGTATATAATATTATACGTGTCTGTGTGTCTGTGGGCTCATGATTGTTCCCCGCACGAAAATTATTTTCAGGCGGTGTAGTCGCCGCCGCTCCCTCCTGCGGGTGAGGGACCTTCTTCTTTTCCCAAAGAAAGAAAGGAAGAAAAAAAAAAAATATATGAACGTAAACAAACCCCTATACAATACATATATGTATTATATGTATACATCGATATCAATGTTTGTATGCATGTATGCGTGTTGGACTGAACGTCACAACAACAGAATAAAGTGGATTGTCTTCTCCCGAGTCTTTACATATTTTGTTTTATTTACCATTTTTATGTGCCTCAGTTTTTCACGGACGGCGTGCCGTCACGTGCGAGGATGGAAGAAACAGCGGGGCCTCAATGAAGTTTACATTCAACGACAAGCAGGAAAGAAGGAAACGAAACAACAACAACAGAAAAACGGAAGTGTGTGGGGCTCATGGGGCAACCCGCCGGTTTGTCCAGAATTGTTTTTTTCGGGGTTATATATTTTTCTTTTTTTTCCCTCTGCGAGCATCTTTTCGTTTTGTTTGTGTGTGTGTGTGTGTGTGTTTGCTGCTTATTTATTTCGCGCGTTCATGCCGCTCAAACGAAGGAACAAAACTGTGGGGGGGGATGCACAAAACAAGGCGTGCGCCAACGTAAATATCAAATGGGAAGTGCTGGCGGTGTGGGCGCGCGTCTCCCTTTTCCGTGGCTTTTATTTTTGGGTTGAGGAAGATGGTGACGATGATGAGGGAAGGGGAGGGGAACGAAAGAGTAAAAAGGAGTGTGAAGAGGGGATGAGATGTGGATTATAAGGAGTTGGCTTCGCCCGCTGTTCTCTACGCTGGTACACATGCGTATTTACTTTTGTGTGTTGGGCTGGGGGTAACAACTGTCAATTTTCTTGAATTTCTCCTTTTGCTTCTTCAGTTGAAAGGATTCTTTTTTTTTTTTTTTTTTTTTGTCTTTCTCTCTTTCCTTCTTTCTTGCCATCGCAGCGTCTGCAGGAGATCGATCCGGTGTCTGCTAGCGACGCGACAAAGGCGCAAGATTTTCTCTTTTAACGGTATCTACACACATATATATATATTACATTACCGACAGGGCGATGGCCTCCATGTCTTCAAACACGCCAGTGGAGTTGCGGAGTGAAGTGAACGAGCTGCGGCAGGGTTTTAGGGATCCACAGATTGAGAAGAATCTCACTCGCAAGCGTGAACTCCTTCGAAAAGTGATTGCCCTTATGACGATGGGAGTTGACACTTCAAGTCTCTTTACGGAGATGATATTGGCATGTGGCACGACGGATATTGTCAGCAAGAAACTTATTTACTTTTACCTCATCAGTCGCTCGGAAAACAACGCGGAGCTGGCGCTGTTAAGTATTAACACCCTCACAAAGGAATGCGGGGAGGAAAGTCCGCTGGTGCGTGGCCTTGCCTTGCGTTCACTGGCGTCGTTACGTCTACCGCAGTTATTTGTGTTTTTAATTCCCGCCGTAAAGAAGGGCTTTTCAGACGTTTCGGCTCATGTACGGAAAACCGCATGTCTTTGCGCACTAAAAGTGTTTCGTATTTCCCCGGTTGAGTTTCATAAACAGCGGTTTTTTGAGCGGATGCTGGGAATGTTGCGTGACAGCGATTCGCTGGTGTGTTGCAACGCCCTTGCCGTTCTCGTGGAGGTCTCGCGTGATGCCGAGGCCAACGGTACCACAGAAGGCGTGTTTGAAGTGACGAAGCCAATTTTATATTACTTGTTGAACAAATTGCGTAGCGTTCCCGAATGGCACCAGGCGCAGATTATTAATCTCGTTCTCCGCTACACCCCTACAAGCGAAGAGGAGATGTTTGACATTATGAATCTTCTTGAGGAACGACTTCAGAGCAACAACAGTGACTTGATCCTCAGTGCCAGTAATGTGTTTTTTTACCTCACACAAAATTACCCTGCGGTATATCGTCAAGTCTTTGACAGACTTAAACTTCCTCTTCTCTCGCTTTTATCGTCATGCTCCAAAATGGAGGTGTCCTACGTTGTGTTGTGCCACATTAAACTTCTTGTTCAGCGTGAACCACGTGTGTTTCAGGACTCATACAAGGTCTTTTATTGCCTTTACATGGAGCCTACCTATGTGAAGGCAGTGAAGATTGAAATATTGTCCATGTTGGCGAATGAGGCATCATCAACCGACATCCTTGAGGAGTTTGCAGCCTACGCGTTAGAACGTGACAAAGCCGTAAGGGGTGCGGCTATCGAGGCAATGGGAAAAGTGGCACTGCGTCTCCCTTGCACTGCACAGAAGGTGCTGCAGCACTTTTTACTTTTTCTCGAATGTGACTCGGATCATGTCCGTGGTAAGAGCCTTGCTGTGATGAAGAATTACCTGCGCAAATACCGCGACATTGAGGTCGTGCGTCCATTTCTCGACGCTCTTGTGAGGGTCTATCACGAGATGAACTTTGCGGATGAAGATAGCCGAGTGGCGCTCGTGTGGGTCCTGGGAGAACTCGGCGAGCACATTGAGGATGCCCCGTACATTCTCGAAGTCATGTGCAATGAAAATTTACTTGCAGAACCGCCGGAATTTCGCCTGCAATTTCTCACTTCTGCCGTGAAGCTATTCTTTAAGCGACCTCCTGAGATGCAGCCGGTGCTTGGAACGATGTTTAAACTACTCATCAATGATTTTTCTCATGCCGATGTGCACGACCAGGCACTACTCTATCATCGACTTCTTCGTCAGAACCTCATGGCGGCAAACAAAATTATTTGCGGTCCAATGGCGGAGATTAAATATTTTGTGGAGGAGCAGAACGCGGCGCTGCGAGACAAACTCTTTGAGGAGTTTGACACCCTCTCTGTTGTGTACTACCAGACAAGCGACAGCTTCATCAAGCCGCCCGCAGCGGGGGGCGAAGAAGAAGATGAGGAGGAGGACGAGGATGAGGAAGAACAAAATGATGAGGAACACGCAGTAAATGAAGGAATGATGTCGATGGCTTCCGCTAGCAGAGAAGCACAAGAACCGAACGGAATGGGATTTGGATGGCAAAGACCAGTCCTTGGACTCATGGACAGTGGCTTTGAATTGTCAGAGGATCCGAGCATTGAGCCACACGAATTTCAACGTCGTTGGGGTGCATTAGGTGAAAAAGCGACATCCACATTGCAGCTGCAGCTTCAGAAGGTACCGGATACGGAGACCTTTGAGGAGGGTCTGGAGGAATGTGGCATTATTACATTGGCTTCTGGTGCACAGGGCGACGCGCAGAAGTACTACTTGTATGCCCAGGAGGAGGGAGACGACACCACGTACTTTATGCTTGAGCTTTTCTTGCACAAATCCGGTTCTGTGAACATTACAGTCAAATCCGATAATCCTCACATGCCACAGTTCCTCCTACTCGTTAAGAAAATCATGGAGCAGTTCTGAGAAGGATGTAGTCGTAGGGAATTTTCAATAGAAACAAGAAGAGGGGGAAAAAGAAAAGGAAAACAAAAACAAAAACGGAGCGTGTCTCTTTGTGTGTGTGTGTGCAGGTGTGTGAATTGACCGTCATCCGCGGATATCGCAGATTTCGTTGCGGGAATGAAACTGACTTCCCGTTCCCTTTTTTTTCATGTTGACTTTTTGTTGAGTTTGCTGTTTTCTAATTGTTTTTTTTTTTTTTTTTGCTATCGTTGTCTTCGTGTGTATTTTATTGGCTACATTTCCTCCTTTTCCTCCTCACATCCTTTCTGTGGGCGGGAGGGAGAAGGATAAGTGAGATGTGGCATGTTTTTGTCTCCGTATCTCTGTTGCTAAGGCGGGAGGGCTGAACTCGAGGATGAGGGTTTCTTTTTTTTTCTCACTAACTTTCTTTGCTTGTGTCTTTACAGGGAGCGAAGGCAACCAAAAAATAAAAAAAAAATAAAGTAAAAGGAGTAAAAAGGGAGGCGGTTTAGAAATAAGAAATTGGGTTGCTTTCGTCCGGGCGACGACCGTCTGTCATTTGAGATACACTCAAGCAGACTGCGGCAGACGTGCAAATACACCATATATATATATATATATTCCTGTTAGAAGACGGCGTAGTTTTAAACGTTAGGACCTTTTTGGCGAAGAAATGGATGACAAACAGGCATTTTTTGTTCAAAGTGAGGATGGCCGCAAGTTTAAGATGGTGATCCGTGGAGATTTAGGAAAACTGAGTGTGGGAAAGATACGGCGGTACCTCAAATCATACGGTATTCCGGATGGACAGTTGCTCCTTCACGACGGTGTGGTGCTGGAGGACAGCGCGGTGGGTGGAGATTTTGGACTGAAAAACAATTCCATGTTGCAATTGGTATCTCCGCGCCGCGGTACAGTGGCGGCAGAGGTGCGCAGTAAACCGACAAGCGATCCTACCCCACACGTTTCGGGAGAGAAGCGCAGCAGCAGCACACACCGTGCGACAAGCGCAGATACGCGTGCGCGTCATTCGGAGCGTCCTTCCTCGCGTCCACTTACAACGGCGACGGTAAGTCATGTAGATCCATCTAGCATGTCAGATGGCCTTTCCCACACCAATGTGGTATCTAGTACTGCTCTTGAAAGCAACATGAATAGTAAAAACAATGGCAAAAACTTAGGCTCTTCTCTTAGCGCGACACTGGAGGTAGAAAATTCGCGGCTGCGCGATGAAGTTGATCGACTTCACCAGGAACTTTCAGAGTTGCGTGGGCGTCAGAAGTGCGGTGACGGCGGCGTGCGTACGGGACCTGTTCTTGTGGATCTTTTGCAGAATGCCAAGTCTAATCTGCAGGAACTCGGTGAAGAATTAGGGGTTTCTTTGCAGTTTGACATGAATCTCACTTGCGTTATTGGCACAGATGAACGTCACACCGTTTTGGTTACCTTTGATCACGCAACCGAGCGACTATATGTGTACTCGACTCTACTGACGCAGCTTCCTGTGGATGCCGCGGTGCGTGTTAAGCTGTATGAACTTCTGTTGGAAGGTTCTTTACTGGGACGTGAAGTATGCGGTGGCGGCATTGGCATGTCTTTGCAAAGCGGCATTGTGCTTCTCTCAACCTCTATTCCGTTGCGTAATTGTTCCACTTCAGCCCTCAAAGACATCATGCCATCGTTTGTGGAAACTCTGGGACGTTGGCGGTCTCTCATCAACGAACTTCTTGATTGAATCGCGTTCCATATTTATTTGTTGTGTGCCTTTGTACGTATGTATTTACGTTTCTTTTTCTTCTTCTGCTTTTTTCCTTTTTGGGTGTTTGTATGTGAGCGCGAAAAGTGGTTGAAGGTGGGCGACATGCTTTAGCGTATCTGTCTTTTTGTCGCAAATGTTTTCTTCATTTCTGGTCCGTGGCACGATTGAACATGAGAGGAAATCAAAACACATAAAGGAGAAGAGAAAAAAGAAAAAAGAAAAACAAGAGAGAATCAAAAACAACAAAAAAACAAAAGGTGTGGCAATGGCTTGTTGTGGGTTTCTATTTTTTATTTGTTTTCGCTTTGGTTGTTTTCTCCAGTGTGTGTGTGTGGGGGGATTCTCATTTTATCCAATGTCGACAAGATTTGATCAACCTGTTGACTGGGGTGAAAAGGGCGCGAAAAGGACGAGCAACACAAACACACACATAAAAAAAAAAGAAGGCAACTTATTTATTGGCACATTTCTAGAAATTTTACGAGTGTCTCCGCTGGCACGACGAATTGTACGATGTATATATATATATATACATACGTATACAAGAGGTCGATTTATTATATTTGTTGTTTTGGACATTCTCTTTTTTTTTTTTTTTTTTTTTATTATCCTCATATAGAGGTGTGCAACGTTGTCAGCAGCAGTCATATAGAGTTTCTCCAGTGGTTCTTTGGAGTCCTTTTTTTTTTTTTTTTTTGACTTTTCTTTTGAAGCGTTTTTGTTGTTGTTGTTTTTTGCAGTTTATTTAATTGGATTTTTGTTCTTGTTTTGATGAATTTCTCCTTTTTCTCTTTTGTGGTCATTTTTATAGTTGTTGTTTATTGTTTGCGTTCTTGTTGTTGTTGTTGTTGTTGTTGTTTTTTGTTGTTATTTTATTATTATTGGTATTTTTACTGCGGCTCTTGCCGCGCTGTCAATTGTGTGTGTGTGTGTTTTGCAGCATTTCCCGCCCCACGAGTGAAGTCGTAGTCGAAGAATCGTGAGAGAAGAAAAAGATGCCAGCACCGCCACCGCCAGCACCGCCACCGCCACCGCCAGCCCCCCCGAAGGCTGCTTCGGGTGAAAAGACCACGACCGTTGGCGGTGCTGCGTCGGCTCTTTTTGCAGAGATTCAAAGCTGCGGTGACAACATCGCGACGCGACTGCGTCACGTGCAGGACCACGAAAAGGCGTACAAGCAGAAAATTCAGCACGGCGAATTAGACTTCTCTGATTTTGAGGTGAAAAAGGCCGAGGCGGATGCACGGCGTCAAGAGCAAAGTAATTTGACGGCCGCTGCCACAGTGGATGAACCGGTGCTGCAGCTTGAGGGCGATAAGCGCTGGGTTGTGAAGTACCAGAAGGGTACAAGTGCCGAGCAGAAAAAATTGACTCTTGACAAGGTGCACATGCGGCATGCCGTTCAGATTTGCAACTGTGAATATGTCATGGTTGAAATTAAGGGTAAGGTGAATTCGGTTTCTGTTTTTTCCTGCAACCGAGTACAGATTGTGATGGAGAGCGTGGTGTCCTCCCTTGAGGTGCTGAAGTCGGGGAACGTGGACGTGAAAGTGCATCGAGCCGTCCCAACCGCCTCTGTAGAGAAGAGCACATCGGTAAATTTATACCTTATGGAAAGGGATGAAGCGCTTCAAACGGAGATTGTTACGGCATGCAGTTCTGCAGTGAATGTCAACTTTCCCTCGGAAGAGGACGCCAACGACATCATTGAGCGGCCTCTACCGGAGCAGTTTGTTTCCAAGATTGTGCGTGACAAAAAGGGCGGATTCAAAATTGCCACAACCCCCTGCGAGAATGTTTAGAAACGCCCGCGGATCGCAGAAGAAAAATTAAGCAGGTGTGAGGAGGACACTGGAATTCCCAAAAGAAAAAAGGAGGATAAGGATTAGGAGGGAAACATGAAAAGGGAAAAACAAACAAGCGGAATTGAAAAAAAAAAAAAAAAAAAAAGGTTTCGAAATAACCGATGAAGACGCAAATATGTGCAAACATTCATACATCAATTCAAAGTGACAGGTAGTATTTGTTGATTTTTTTTTTTTTCATTGTTTTCTTTGGGCAACTGACATCAGCGATGGGGCATGAAACTGAAATGCATGAACAAAACGAATAGGAATGTATAAAAGGAGGAAGGAGAGGAGAGGGGAGAAAGTGTCCGAGGTTGTTGTTTTTTTTTTTTTTTTTTTGTTATCAGTTGTGATATTTTTACCTCTATCAGCACTTTTGCCCGTGCTTGTTTGGTTTTATGTTGTGTTTGATTTCCTTTAGTCTGCCATTTTTGACGTCACTTATGCTTTTTGGACCCCCTGGCAACGCCGGCCACCTCATCGTGGCGCCAGGACAAATTGCACCCTGAATTGTCGGAGGGAGGGAAAGCCAAAAGAAAGTCATGTTTCTCTCACGGGATTGTTATCGTGTGCACAAGACCAAGGGCATCGACCAGTGCCCGGACCAGCCGCGTCGTGCTGGTGCACAGTCGTGACGCCATGAGGTCTGACGGCACGTATTATCGCGGTGCGGACCATTTGCTTGAAAGAAGATGAGTAAAAAAAAAAAATCAACAAAAGTTTTGTGTTTTTTCCTCTTGCGTTACTGCTGGCAAGGGTGTGAGTGTATGCCTGTTTTGTTTTTTTATTTTTGATTTTTTTTACTTTGAAGGAAATCCCGGGTATAACCCACGCTGCCGCGTCTCTTTCTGCGTGTGTGTTTGGAGGGGGGCTGCGGCGCAGGGAGAGAGGGAGGTAAAAGAAGGAAGTTTAGGACCTCTTGAGGAGGAGAGGCGCGTTTGCACGTTTCAAAGTAGATATCGACATCGCGTGTGCGGGGAAAAAAATATCGAGTCATGGCATCGCTGAACACGGAGCTCGCGCTTGTGAAACGATTTCACATGCTGAGCAAAAACTACGATAATCGTCCGGTGGTTGCACGCCGCAGTACACTTCCGGCGTTGGTCCGCTTTCTAGGGAGCAAAGACAGGGAGACGCGACAGTACTCTCTCGACGCTCTATATCTCTTGGCACAACATCCCGAGAACGTGGAGCTGTTGGCGGAGGAGCGTGCGCTCGTACAGGAGGTATTTAAGGTTTACAAGGATGCCCAATACGACGATCCAGAGCTTTACGAATTGGCAAATCAACTTCTTGACCTACTAGAGCCTGCTCTGCAGGCCCGGGACCCCAGAAGGGAGGAGGCACCCAAAACGAAAGACACGGGTTCTAGCGGCAGCAATGGTCGCATGGATGACGATGCGGCGAATGAAAACTCGATAAAACGGCGTTCGCGTGCTGCGCGCGTCTTACGAGGCGTTGGATTAGATGCGATCCACACCGTTGAGCTCGATATACCCGCTCTTGACCCCCGAAATGGGGATGACCTCTCACTCGTGGAAGATATTTTTCAATCCACACGTGGTGTTTTGTCGTTTTCCATCTTTTTAGAACAGAGACGGGCGCGATTGTTTATAACATGTGAAACCCGGGCACTCCAACAGGTTCTTTCGGACGCTGGTTTTGAGTCAATTGTGGTACGGGATGAAGTGGTTAGCCAGGAAATCTTCGGTGGCGATGGAGGCAGTCACTTGAGCAGCAATCGTAGTTACTACGGCGGAGAGACGCCATCGAAGCGGCCTTCGTATCTAGAGAGTTTGACCAACACCATTTATGAAACGGCGTTGGTGTTGGCTGGCGGCGGCAGTAAAGACGACACACTCTCCGGCCGCGTGAGGCGTCAGCAGGACCGTGAGCAACGAGGGAACTCCGCCTGGGACCATGCGAAAAAGGCATTGTCGAAATGGTGGTGATGGCCAAAGGACAAAATGCGGCGGATTCGCATCGCAGGGAAAATAAGAGTGAAACAAATGGGTGGAAATAGGTGGAGAAACGAGAAAAATAAAAACAACAAAGCAAAAAAAAAAAAAGAAGAAATGCATGAGTTTATGAGATGAGAGAGAGAGAAGGAGAGGGAACTGTGTTTTCTGCGTGCATGGAGATACGAGAAGCGATAAAAATGGATTACGAGGAGGGAGGGGGGGGGGGGAGATGACACATTGCTGTAGTAGTTGGAGAAAAGTCGAACGATAAAACAAAAGGGACATTAAATGAGTGAGGGTATCATGCCTCTAAATTTTTCTGATCTTCTTGACATGACGTACGGTGTATGCAAATAAATAACTGAGGAGAAAAATTTACACCTATTGACTTTTTTTTTCTTTTTTTTTTCTTTTTTTTTCTCTCCTTCTTTTTATTTTTTATTTCTATTACACGCAGCCATTTTTGTACTTTCTTTTTTCCGCATACACGAAAGGGGGTTTAGAACCAAAACAGGGCGGTGGAGGGCCATAGGTGGTTCATCTGCTGTTATCTCTTTTTTTTTTTGTCGTTTTTGGAAACGTTAAGGTTTATTTCGGCTTGTTTTCTTTCCTCACCCGATACACATGAAACAAACAATGCGACGCAAATTTTGTGACGTTCTCTTCCCTTTATTGTTGGTGTTTCTCTTGACGACGATGGAGCCTGTGACGGCTGAGGTGTACATTCGACTTCTTCCCGGAAAGGAATTGTGCCTCAACTATGAGGGCTATCGTGACCCAGAGGATGACCCACCCACCGTGGACATCCGTCACCGTGGAATTGACCCGCGAAATGTCAACATACGCACCCGCCTGTACGCCCCAAGTGGAGCGCAGGTGACTCTGGATGAACGCATTGACTCTTTTGGTTCCCCATCCTCACTTTTTTTTAAGGTGACAGAGACTGGCACTTATCGTTTTTGTATGCGCACACCATTGAGTCAGCCTTCGTTACGTTTTGAGATACGTTTTATTGGAGAAAAGGATCTTATAGATCCGATAACAACAGCAGAGGGAATGCCTGCTGTTGACAAACCAGTAGACGCTAAAGACTACGAAGGGCGGCTGAATATGTTGGATATTTGTGTGCAAGTCGCTCTTGACGAAGTTCGCATAATCGAAAACCGTCTCCACATGTTTGATGAAGTCACGCAGTCGACGTACTACATCACAGTGGGGATGCTTTTTCTCAATGTGGTTCTCTCTATCGTACTGACCGTGTGGTCTGAGAAATACCTTGAGCGCTACTTTACAAAGAAGAAGATTGTCTAGTGGATGCGCAGGAATTTATTTATTTATTTACTTATTTTTGAGAGACAATGAAAGAAACAATGCAAAGTTTAATAGGTGTCAATTTAACAGAAAGTAAAACAATCGGGGTTTGTCTGACTGGGTAAAGACATGTGTGCTTGCGTTTGTCTTATTTTTTTTTTTTTTTTTTTGGTGATTGTGTGTTTGTGTGTGTGTACTCGGTGATGTTTATGTATCTAAATATATATTACTATTTTTTATGTGGATTCTGCCATGTGTATAAACCCTTTTTTCTCCCGAATTATGAGGGTGACGGTGGTGAGCTGCGTTCAGTCAGGGATTGTCTCTCGAGAAGAAATGACAAGTGAACGAGACTTTTTTTTTTGCCAAATAGACACCTGCGTAGGCAAAAGTGTGCGCTGAAGTTACGAGCATGAAGGACTCTTATTCTCTCACAACTCTCTATGTAAAATTGGATTTGATTTGACGTTTTATTATTATTATTATTATTATTATTATTATTATTGTTGTTGTTGTTGGTCTTTTGTAACGTTTTGGGCTCTACTAACAACCACCAAAATGTAAATAAATATACATATATATATATATTAATAATAATAGTAAGGGGAGGAGGGGCATTATTACAGTTAGAGACCTTCACGCGAGGAGACATTGGCTTGTGTGGCAAATGGTTTCTGTGCCCAAAATTCTGCAGGTGATCACTCGCCTATTTGAGTCTCCCCAGCCATCCTTTAGGCCGGCGGATGCTTACTTAGTCCTGAATTTTTTGCGGGGCATCCCGTTGGATTTGCGGGGCCCCACTGTCACGATGAATATGTTTAAGATTGTGCTGCACTGTCCGCATGCTTCTACACTCCTTGAGAATAACACGCAGTTAGCTACCAAAGTCATCTTGGCATTTTTCGTTGAGCGTCTGCGAGACGATGCGGAAGTTGAAGAGGCGATGCGGCGCGTTATTCGATCCGTGAGCGTCAATCAGAACTTGTCTACGCCTCTCTACTTGACGATGACAAGAAAACTCTCGCGCCAAAGGCGTGACTCATCAACATCGGATTTGCCTGCGGCACTGGTGCAGGACGATGCTCTTGTGGAGGATCTCCTGGAGCGTGTCGTTCGCCGGATTCCAAGGCCGGGGCAGGACATACGTGAGGGTGTCCCTTATGGCTTTTTGTCGCAAAAGGAAATGCACAAGCGGGGGGGTCGAGAGTTTGAGAAACCCGAGCTGATTTTTCTTATTTCTACGCTGCGTCACGTCACTGTTTCACGCGCGGCGCGGTGTAAGGATGGTGCCGTGGAAACAGCCTTCAATCCGATGCCACTTGCTGCACACATCGTGGAGCCCGTGGTACGGGGGGTGGAATCCCTCCCTGCATTCCGTCACGAGGATGCACCACCGCGAGCAGATGACTGGATTCTCATTTCGCATCTGATGGGTTGTCTCGACAGCCGCCTACATGAATTTGGGAAGCGGCTGTGGCGACAAAAGGCACGCCTCTATGATCCAACGAGTGTGAAATTCAGCGAGGATTTTAATTTACCGATTTGGCTGGCGGGGTTCTTATTTTCCTTGCGAGGTACGGATAAAATTGATGCCATAAAACTATGGATTGACATCATGACAACTCCTCAGGCCTTGTCGGAAATGCCTCATAAAATGATGCGGGTTCTGCTTGTTGATGTGAC